AATATGATCTTGTTTTATGATCTGCATGAAAATGGAAAGTATCTATGATCCGGATTGAGAGTTTCTAACTTGTATTGTTTAGTTTAGTTATCTGTGATGGGATGAAGAAATTTAATACTCCAGAGCAAACAAACCCAGACAAAATATCAACGTAAGTGAAATTTATGTAACTCGTTTTTTTCTATTTTTTAAAAAGAAATCTAGGTTTTCGTTTTTATATTCTTTTTATTGTTTCTTTTAACAGAAATATTCAACAAAAACAATTCAATATTTCGTAGATTTTGTGTTTGCATTTTAGATGTTCATTAGATTCAAACACTGAACAAAAACAAAAAGACGGTGTTATCTGTTTTCGTTTTTTACTAATTGAATTTTTCCGATTTTCCTTGTAAATCTTTTGACAAAAACAAAAATAGGGGGGGGGGGTGTATACTGTATAGTGTATAATGTATATCTTCCTGAAAAATCATCACCCCCCCCTCTTTTTGAAAATAATTGTTTCCCCAGAAGTTATGTATGGTTGCGCGGAGCAAAACATTTTTTCTAGAGTCTTTTCTTCTGAATTACAGAAAATAAATAAAATTTTACGTGTAGGGGGTAATTCTTAAAAATATACACCCCTGGATTTTAAATAGTATTAAATTTCCATCAATTGTGGGTTTTCAGAAATCTATTTTTCTGTGAGAGGAACATATTTTTAAAACAAGCATAAAAGATGTTCATAATTACTCTTCAGTAGATTGTTAACATGAAAGGATGAAAATTAACAATTCTTAGGATAAAAATAATGTGACATTTAAAAAAAATTTTTTTTTTTTTTAAACTTCAAATTTTATGAGACAGGGGTAAATACTAACAGAAGATATTTTCCTTCACCTTTAAAAATAATTTTTTTCCTCCCGTCGTTCCACCCACCACCAATCCACCAATCAGCCAATCAGCCAATCAACCAATCAACCGACCAACCGACCAACCAATCAACCAATCAAACAATCAAAAAATCAGCCGACCAACCAATCAACCAATCAACCGACCAACCATTCAACCAATCCACCAATCCACCAATCCACCAATCAAACAATCAAAGAATTAACTAACCAAGGAAAATAACAACTAACCAATAAAACAAACAAACAACAACCAAACAACTAAACAACCAAACAACTAAACAACCAAACACCCCAAACACTAGCTCTATTGGTGGATAAGATGTAGAACTAATATCTAATATCTAGATGAACTAGTAGAGCGGGGGGAGAAGCTTGATCTGTTGGTGGATAAGATGTAGAACTAGATACAACTAATATCTGATATCTAGATGAACTAGTAGAGCGGGAGAAGAAGCTTGATCTGTTGGTGGATAAGATGTAGAACTAGATACAACTAATATCTAATATCTAGATGAACTAGTAGAGCGGGGGGGAGAAGCTAGATCTATTGGTGGATAAGACGGAGAACTAGATACAACTAATATCTAATATCTAGATGAACTAGTAGAGCGAGGGGAGAAGCTAGATCTATTGGTGGATAAGACGGAGAACTAGATACAACTAATATCTAATATCTAGATGAACTAGTAGAGCGAGGGGAGAAGCTAGATCTATTGGTGGATAAGATGTAGAACTAGATACAACTAATATCTAATATCTAGATGAACTAGTAGAGCGAGGGGAGAAGCTAGATCTATTGGTGGATAAGACGGAGAACCTTTCAGCATCAGCTGTAACATTCAAGAGCGCCAGTAGAAACCTTCACAGGGTCATGTGGTAATGAAGTACTTATATTAAAGGCGTTATTGGGTCATTCTCAATGAACTCAGCCAGGTTTTGGTGCTCATGGAAACCAATGTCATGGATTTTCTTTAAATTTTGCACACAGCTGAAATATTATGAGAAAACATTAAATCCAAAATTTCAGGCTCCTGTGACCCCTGTTACAGAGTTATAGCCTCCTGAAGTTCCGGCCTCAAGGCAATTATCAGCCTGACCTAACTTTTTTGTTAATTAAGATATCAAGCTAACGTTAACTCCATTTCTGTTACTACTTACTTAATAAGATTAAATTTTAATTAAATTTTTTTTTACAAATTGCATATGCTTAGAAATTGTATAAATATTTTTAACCTTAATTTTGGGATTTAAGTCCAAAAATTAAAATAGGAGGATACCCTCATTAAACAAATCGAAGTATAAAAATAAAAATACAATTTCTAAGCATAAGCAATAAGTAAAAAAAAAAATTAAGTTAGAATTTAATATTTTACTGAGTAGTAAAAAAATGGCGTTAAAATTAGCCTGATATCTTAATAAACAACCAATTAAAACATGCAAGGTCAAACCAAAAATTGCCTCAAGGCCGGAACTTTAGAAGGCTATAACTCAGTAACCAGAGGTCAGAGGAGCCTGAAATTTTGGATTTAATGTTTTTCATATTACGCTAGCTGTGTTCAAATTTTAAAGAAAATCCATGAAATTGGCTTCCATGGGGTGGCTGACTTGATAAAGAATTACCCTATTCTAAGTATTGGGTCACATGAAATTACACTTTGAGTCCCATTAAGCCTCGCGCAACCATTTATAATATTAATTTCATCATTAAGTGCAGTTCTATCTACAAACCTTTCTTTTTCGTACGTATTGAAATCAAAACAATGAAAATACGCAAAATTTCCTATTATTATGGGAACCCAGCTTTGCCTGGAACTGAACTTTCTCTATAAAAGTCCATTGACCCACTCAACTGAGTTCCCCAATTAAAATTTGACGGAAATCGGTCCATGGGCTCCTTTGACATTATACATGATAGTACATGCAAATAAAGATTATTAATAGATTGATGAGGTATCATGTTACTATGGTTCAAGGGTGGTCCAATAGAGAATTTGTAGTCTAGAATACTCAATTCTGTAATACACAATTGAGTCGGTTTTTGTGAATAAAAACTGTTCAGCGGTCATTTTACGTACAGATTAATTAGGTTTATGTCGAAACAATAATTTAAAGTCCCGACAAAGTATGTTTTTGGAAAAATATTGAATTAGTTTTCCTTACCCCATGTTAATTTTATAAGAGCAACCGCGCCGTGCTCTAACTATAATTTCTTCGACTAAAACTGGGTTCAATTTCATGTTTTGGTTCAAGTCTAGTTTCTGTTGTGTTTTACAAACAACCATTATACATTCGTACACACACCTAAACTAAGTTCATTGTTTATAAACGAATGTGGTGTATTCTATTGGCCTTACCTTGCTTTGATTTGATGTAGATCAGTTTGATCGAAAACGTCAGGGGGAGTATGAAAAAATGAATTTCCTTTTTTTCCAAATTAAGTGCTTAGGATCCATTTAATTTTGATGCGGATCCGGATCCTGGATCCGCATTGGAAAAAAATGTTTCCGTATCCAATCCAGGTCATGAACATTTCGAAAAGATTTACTGAAGTTGAAATTGTCAAATTATTTGTCTCCTTTTTTTCGCTTATTTGTATGCTATTTGAGAAAAATTCTGAGTTCAATTTTTTATAATCCCTCTTTTTATTAACAGTTCAGATTTGGGTTTTGAGAGTAAAAAAGTTTTTTTTTGCAGTTTTTGATATTTTGCCCCTTAGATTCGGATCTGTGGATCCGCATATTTTATGAATCCGGATCCAGAAAGCCAAAATCTTGCGGATCCAAAAGATCCGGATCTGCATCCTCAGCACTGTCCAATTCAATGATAAAGGACTCCAATCTTTTTACGTGCAGAGCAGACATTCCTGAACTATTGGGGGTAAAACATGATTTTGAAAGAAGGTAGGGGGGGGGGGGGGTTAAAACAAAATATACTCTTGCAAAATCCTAGATCCTGTTGTTTATTTAGGTGGAAGAATGTGAAGATGATGGTAGGAGTGGGTTTAGGAATTCTTATCTTTCTCTACATCATTGTCTCTCTCTCTTGCGGGGGCCTGGCCTGGCCAAAATGTGTATAAAAATCCGCAAAAAGACTTTTGCACATTGCTTGACTGGAAAACAACTCATTCTGTAATCTGCATCCTTTCGTTCTTGATTGATATTAATTAGTTTGATCTGATTATTTTGCAGCTCTCTTTTAATTCAAAGAAGATTTAGTATTCATTGTAATTTTTATACATTTATAATTCTACTTATAAAGGGTTTAAGGGACTGTTAATGGAATTTGAAGTGACCCTACATCCGATCGGATTTACAACGGTACCCTAACATCTTAAACCCTCTACCGTCGTTTTTCTATCTTTAAAGTTGAAACATTTTGAATTTTGACAATTTCCTTTGAAAATATGTTTTTTTAAATTTTCATTTTTTATGTATCATTCATCGTTTTTCCGACAAAGTTTTAAAGGGACATGCCACTCTATACATGGATGTTAACTTTAAATTACGTCTACAGTTCCTTCTAGTTTTCCTTCTCATATGCACACTGTACTTTGCAGATTAGTCAGTAAATATTGATGTCACAAAATTTTATTATTTTATTTCATTGCGCGCAATATTGATAATGATATTCTCTACATTTATATACATAGAAACATAAATATTTATATATGTATTATATAGAAAATTAACACAAATTAAATTTATGAACATTATATTGCAATTATAATTTTACCTCAATTTCACGGAAACACGATTTATTAATTCTTCAATACTGATTCCCTAGTCAAAAATTAATTGTATAAATAATCCACACATATAATGATGCACATTTCTATTAAAACATTTACAAAAATCTATAAATGAGAAATAATTTTTTTCTAAATAAACCACTATCATTACAATTTTGAGATTCTATTATTTATCCTGATTTTGATTCCTTAATATTTTTCTTAAAAAGTGTAACTGGCTTTTTGCATTTCATGGACGTATACTTTTTTAACAATATTTCTTGAAGAAATAAGTATGCAAATGCAAATATTAAAAATATAAAAAACCTTGAATTTTGAGATTTTCTGATACTCATTCTTTTCTTTATTTACTTTAGTAAAACATTTTTGTGTGTGTAAAATTGTAATTTTTATGAACTTGGCTCTTATATTTGAAAATTTTAATAGAAAATTTGAATTGTAAGTAGGTTCAAGGAAACCTGGAGACACTTGACAATTAGAATCTAAATGCTAAATAATTTGGCTTCTAAATCTGGAATTTTTTGTTGTAAATGAGAGGGGGGGGGGTAAGTTTCCGACATCATTTCCAAAAAGTGATATTTTTCTTGTATAAGAGTCTGCATATTTAATTTACCAAAAATTTTACCAAATACAATATAATGTAAAGGTTTAGTCAAGATAGTACTTTAAGAGGTACATTTTCTTGAGGAAATAACCCCCTTTCCCTGACCCCCTCATCAAACAAGAAAGATTAGATTACATGTAGTGTTTCCAGCGAACGAAAACTTTTGCGATAAAATATGAAAATTTTTGTTAGTGTTTCACAAATTTTTTCGCTAAATTGCGCATTTTTTCGCGAAAATGTTCACACTTTTCGCGAAATTTTCGTGAAATTTTCGCCGGAAACCCTTAATACAGGGTTAGAAATTTAAAAAAGGATTCAAATTTGCATGGTACTATCTAATGTTTCCCCCCCCCCCTCTCTCAAGCTTTTAAAGTCATTCACCCCGCCCATATATCCCTCTTGTGCATTATTTAGCATTTAAGTATTTTGCCGAAGAATTAATTTGCAATTATTTTAATTAGATGAATGTGATTTTCAAATTCTGTTCATGGATTGGATATTAAACTTTGTTTCCTGGAATAGAGACGTTTCATAGAAGAGGGTCGTTAATTCTTAAAAGTAGTTTCGTATTTTAATCTGAAAAAGTGGTACCCATGCATCTGTGGAATAAGACTAATAATAGCCCGGCTCAATCAACACGAATCAAAGAGATTGTACACTGTTAAGTGTACAGTGTAGCAGAACCATTTCATTTAATAATTTGATTTTCAATGTCGTCTTTCTAGTCTACAGTTTTAGGGGTGACTGTTATAATTATTTACAACTACTTTTTCGGGAAATTTAAAATTTTATTTTGCCAAGGATTCCCATCACTACTGAGGGAACCTGTGGTCAGGTAAATTTTTTAATTTTTCCGAAAATTTGTAAATGTTAACAATTTTATCGTCTTTTAAGATGTACATTTTTACACGAAAATTTCAAAATTAATAAAATCATCCTCTCTCTTATAAAATTACAATTCATGATTATTTATCTGATTCAACTATTAAACTTTATATATTTCAGATGAGTAAAATGTTAAGATTTGTGGGGCTCGGGCTAAGGTTGGGGGTCTGTGGGGGCTCAGTTCTTTATATGCACGAGCAGGGCGTTTTTGGGGACATTAAACAGGTGAGAAGTCCTTTTTGGAACCCTGTTTCATATCTGTTGGTCAAGGGACTGATAACGATTTTTCAAGTAGGTCTCCAGTTACCTAGGCAGTGTCTAATTATTGACGGCAAAGAAATCCGCTTTTTTATCTCTTAAAATGGTGTGCATGTGTAGTGTGCATGTGTAGTGTGCATGTGTAGTGTGCATGTGTAGTGTGCATGTGTAGTGTGCAAACTGTCTGTCCAACGCGTATTTTCAAATTTCAAATGATAATATTTATTTTCTTCCGACTCCTGAAAAGTAAGAAATATATTATTAAAAAATTGAAAACAGTTTACAATCAAAGTTTTAAACATTGTTTCTACAGGCAGAAATAGAATATATCAATTATCTTGGATCGGTCAAAGAATTAGATGGTAGCAGTGTGAATTGAACACGCCACTTCACAAATGAAGGAACACTTGACATAACATCTTCAGTTTCTTTAAGACCCCCCCCCACCTCCCCTCCCCATCGAAGCCAGTAATACTTTTTGTTATCAAGCATTGTCTTAGTTTTGTTATAATAACATTTAATGGATATTTTGTCACTAAGATAGGGATCCTTGGATCCGCTGATTATAAAAATTTCCTCATTTCTGAATGGTTCATCAAGTTTTAGGATATAAATAGGCCGAAAAAAAAAAAAAAAATTTGAACATTGTTAACAAATTATTCAGTAAATCTTAAAGAAATGACCTGGATCCGGATTTGGATCCGGATCCATTTTTTTCCAGTTCGGATCCAGGGTCCAGATCCGCATCAATATTAAATGGATCCGAAGAACTGGTTTGTATTTTGTTTTTTTTTATGAAAAAAGTTATATATTTCTATTCTAACACTTCTGTTTGTTTCTTAGAGATATATATTTATCAGTGCTGAACATCCATTTCATTTTGATGCGGATCGGCCCTTAGAAATTAAATCTTTAGCAGGTTTTGGTTTATATTTTGTCCCATGATTAAAAGAAATTCCTTCTATTTCCTTCCCCTTTTCCAAAAATAAACCCCTGGATATATATTATATATATGAATTATTTTATATCTTTTTCTGTTTGATAAAACGTAATTTAGGGGTCAAAGTCAACTTTTTTCATTCTTCTTCATACTTGCTTCCCAATCAAACATATATAACATATATATATAGGGGGAAGAATAATTATTTTCGAGAAAATATACACCCCTGAACGTATTTCTAGGGAGTTGAAGCGTACAAGAAATTAAATTCTGTGACAATAAAAGATCTTGTTGGAGAGGAAATTAGTTCCCAGCTTCCTTCTATTCAGCTTCCTCAGGTTAGACATTCCCAGGCCGATACTTATGAATCTTAAACCTGGGATTTAGCACTTAAAGAGTTCTTTCCACCTCGAGGGCCTTTGAAATTCTAAGGGATGATTTAAGGCGTTAAACCATTTATTTCAAAAAATATCAATTTCCTTCGCTGAACCTTTGCGCTATGCCATCATATTCAAAATTTTCGGCCTTGGAAGATATTTCTTCCAGATGTAAACATATTTATACGTTTGTAATTTCAATTGACCCTCGACATAAAGAGGGCCATACCTGATTCACAACGGTACCCTTTTACCTTAATCTAATCAACTATGTGTAAGATAGCTTCGACATTCCAGCTTGACAAGTGTTTAATTCTAAAAAATTTCTCCATCGTTTCCTTTGCAAGAATCCGCAAGCACTTCAAAAAATACCCAAAATTGAAAATTATTAAGTTTAAAAGAGATGCTGATGGATATCTCGTGCATTCTTGATCAGAGAAAGCTCTTTAGATTACCTTTGTGAATAGGACATACCACTCTGTAAATGGAGGGTAACGTGAAATTACGTTTACAGTCCCTTTAATATTTGAATCCAGGAGGTGGAGTCTGGTGTAAGTGCTGTAACAGAAACAACTTCTGATATAAAAAAGGTAAATTTTCCAGATTTTAACTCTGCCTCGCAAAAATGAAACCCTGTGATATAGTTCAAGTTGTGCACAAATAACAAGTGGACAAAATATTGTACAATATAAAATGTTAAAGCTGAGCCAGTGAGCATCCTCGCAATAAAAATACTAGTTAATCAATAAAAAGAAAAGTTACAAAATTAAGTGGGCTCTGAACATCGTAACCGGGGTTTCATTTTTAGACCTAAACTAGTTCTACGGAAGTGTTTACAACGACTCAGTTATATTTCATATAGTTACCCTTGATATAATTACCCTTGATATAATTACACTTGATATAATTACACTTGATATAATTACACTNTAATAATATAAAGTGTAACTATATGAAATGATGTTATAGCTAGTGTAATAATATAAAGTGTAACTATATGAAATGATGTTATAGCTAGTGTAATAATATAAAGTGTAACTATATGAAATGATGTTATAGCTAGTGTAATAATATAAAGTGTAACTATATGAAATGATGTTATAGCTAGTGTAATAATATAAAGTGTAACTATATGAAATGATGTTATAGCTAGTGTAATAATATAAAGTGTAACTATATGAAATGATGTTATAGCTAGTGTAATAATATAAAGTGTAACTATATGAAATGATGTTATAGCTAGTGTAATAATATAAAGTGTAACTATATGAAATGATGTTATAGCTAGTGTAATAATATAAAGTGTAACTATATGAAATGATGTTATAGCTAGTGTAATAATATAAAGTGTAACTATATGAAATGATGTTATAGCTAGTGTAATAATATAAAGTGTAACTATATGAAATGATGTTATAGCTAGTGTAATAATATAAAGTGTAACTATATGAAATGATGTTATAGCTAGTGTAATAATATAAAGTGTAACTATATGAAATGATGTTATAGCTAGTGTAATAATATAAAGTGTAACTATATGAAATGATGTTATAGCTAGTGTAATAATATAAAGTGTAACTATATGAAATGATGTTATAGCTAGTGTAATAATATAAAGTGTAACTATATGAAATGATGTTATAGCTAGTGTAATAATATAAAGTGTAACTATATGAAATGATGTTATAGCTAGTGTAATAATATAAAGTGTAACTATATGAAATGATGTTATAGCTAGTGTAATAATATAAAGTGTAACTATATGAAATGTAACTTTTAATCATTAATTTTTGTGATGATTAATCTAATTAAATCAAATCAAAATCAAAAACATATCACGCCAAGTCAAGACAACTTAAAACTGAAGATAATAATAATATTAACTACCCCCTGAAAAAAGGGTTCTTTTAATACCAACATTAAGGATGAGTGACAGCTGTCATTTGTTCTATGGCGATTTAGAAAAATAACTAAATAGTTATAACTATAAGTGATATCTCTCCTTAATGATTCTACTTTTATTTTGATCGACAAGGTTTATTTCAATTTCTTTCTGACAGACTCAATTCCTCTCTTTAAACCTTTGTCTGAAAAAAATGATGAAAATATCCTGTTTGCTAACTAAGAATTGATAATTTCAAATTGTGGTTTCTCTATAAACGTGACTTGCGGATTTACGTTGCTAAAACGAATGAGAAATTTCAGAATTTAATACGTTTTTATTGAAACTAGAAAGAAGGGCGCGAAGCGCCCTGAATTTCTAGTATTTGAAATTTTGATGATTCATAAACCTTCCCTGGGCTCCCTAGATGTCCCACAAAAAATTTGGGCCCGATCGGTTCAGCCGTTTTGACGTTTATTGGATACAAACAAACAAACAGACAAACAAACAGACAGACAAACAAGCCAAATTTATATATAGAAGACGACAATATTTACCTTATTTTGCAGCTGAGACAAAGAAGGAAAGGTCAGAATTTAACACTATAGAGAAGACGACATATTTTCCGTATTTTGCAGCTGAGACAAAGAAAGAAATGTTTGAATTTAACACTTTCAAAGAGAAGGCGGCATATTTTCCGTATTTTTCAGCTGAGACTGATGGAAATGTTAGAATTTAACACTATTGAAAAGACGACAATATTTTTCGTATTTTGCTGCTGAGACAAAGAAGGAAATGTTAGAATTTAACACTTTTCCAAAGAGAAGGAAATGTTAGAATATAACACTTTTGCAAAGAGAAGACGATATATTTTCCGTATTTTGCTGCTGAAACAATGAAGGAAATGTTAGAATTTAACACTTTTGCAAAGAGAAGACGACATATTTTCCGTATTTTGCAGCTGAAACAATGAAGGAAATGTTAGAATTTAACACTTTCTAGAGAAGACGACATATTTTCTGTATTTTGCAGCTGAGTCAAAGAAGGAAATGTTAGAATTTAACACTTTTGCAAAGAGAAGACGATATATTTTCCGTATTTTGCCGCTGAAACAAAGAAGGAAATGTTAGAATTTAACACTTTTGCAAAGAGAAGACGACATATTTTCCATATTTTGCAGCTGAGACAAAGAAGGAAATGTTAGAATTTAACACTTTTGCAAAGAGAAGACGACATATTTTTCGTATTTTACAGCTGAGACAATGAATGAAATGTTAGAATTTATCACTTTTGCAAAGAGAAGACGACATATTTTCCGTATTTTGCAGCTGAGACAAAGAAGAAATTGTTAGAATTTAACACTTATAAAGAGAAGACGACATATTTTTCGTATTTTGCAGCTGAGACAATGAATGAAATGTTAGAATTTATCACTTTTGCAAAGAGAAGACGACAATATTGTTCTTATTTTTGCTCAGATGGAGGTTTGAATTACATTAACAGTCCCTTTAATCCCATTTTGTTTAGAATTTCTGGTTCTACTGGAATTGTGGTGTAAACAGTGTGTTCTCAGGACTAGTTAATCTTCCCAGTACAACACTGCAGTACGCTAACCTTGCAGTACAGAAAATTCAGGATAGCATCAAGGAATAAATTTGAGACAGACGGCAGCGGAGATCTTACAGCTTTCTACAAACATATCACAGCTGTCCAAGCATCTCACAGATGTCAACAAACCTTTCACAGCTGTCAAAAAACAACTTACAGCTGTCAACAAGCATCTCACAGTTGTCAACTAACTACTCACAGCTGTCAATTGACATCTCACCACTATCCACAGACATCTTATGATCTAACAGCTGTTATCAGACATCTACCAGTGGACAAAGTGTAGTGATATTCCAGTCAAATTTTGTTTTAAAATTAGTAATATATAAATTAGTGCATTATTTATAAAAAAAAAATTAAATGAACTTATAGTTTACATGGTTTCAGAAAAAGTATGGAAAATGTTTACTGTCAGATTAGCCTCAAAACTGTCTAAAGTTTTGGTGAGAAAAGTAAATGGGATTTTTAAAAACTAATCTGTTAAATGTATCTAGTATACTTAGTGCTTTTTACACTAACAAAAATTCCAAAAGAAATTCTGAGTCGAATAATTGTTCTAAATTAAAAAATACAATAATAATTTATACACATAAGTTAAAGAGCATGTAAAAATCCATGCTTTATAAATTTTCTTTCACCAACAATATTATTTTGTTGCAAGTTTTATAAACTTGACAAATATAAAGGTTAAGACACAATTTAACTTACCCTGGTAGAGAACTTCAAAGAAAGAAATTGGCACAGGCCAGTGCTTAGGATCCGGATCCGTTGGATCCGCAAGATTTTGGCTTCCTGTGTCAGAATCCGGATCCGCAAAAATATGCGGATTCTAGGTGTAAAATATCAACCAAAAACTGTTAAAAAAAAACTTTCACTCCTGAAACCCAAATCTCAACTTTTGAAAAAAGAGATTATAAAAATTTCCTCATTTCTGAATAGTTCGTCAAGGTTTAGTATAAAAATATGCGGAAAAAAATAGAACAAAAAATTTGAAAATTATTTTTTGTTAAAAAAATTCAGTAAATCTCAAAGAAATGACCTGGATCCGGATCCATTTTTTTTCAGTGCGGATCCAATATCCGGTTGCGGATCCGCATCAAAATTAATTGAATCCTAAGCACTGGCACTGGTGAAACGAAGACGATAGTCCTATCATTACTAAATCTTTAAAATTGTAAACATTTATTTACCTGACCAATTTTAAATTTACCTTTGTACAGTTGAACTTTAAGTACATATTACTTAACCTTTTATTGTTGAAAATCTACATTTAAATATTTAATTTATTTGATATGGTGTTTATACACTTCGTGGGAACTTTTGATCTTCTGTCTATATTAGCATTTTTTTTTACTTTTTAGTTTTTCGTCTTATTTTGACAAATTTTTGCTTTACTTTTTGCTTTTTATTTTTTGTTTTTGAAAAAGGAAACAATTCAAGTGAACACTTAGATTTGGAAGCATTTGTGTTGGTAACATGACCAATTGTTGAAATATTCAATATCTCATAAGGGGGGGGGCAGTTAATCATTTTATGATAAATATCCAAGCAGCATAGATTAATTGTCGTCATTACTATACCACTGCCACTGATCAAGATCCGCTTAAGTATGGAAATCCAATGTTCAAAGTGTGATAAATTATTTCAAAATAAACTTTTTTTAATGGAAAAGATTTATAAAATAGTTGTATTTGTAAATCCTTATCCAAGTGGTAACAAACAAACGAGGACTTAATTTGCGGCCAAAACACATTAATGTCTACCTATAAGAAAACATAAAAAACCTTCTTTTAAATTGTCGTTACAAAAAAAATTGCGAAAAACGAAGCGAGCAGTTTTGAATTTTGTGTTTTGAAGTACTGAGCAGAACTTCAAAAATCATTCTTTTGCTGGATTCGAACAAATGTTGTACGAAGTTAATGTTAAATAAAAAACTATAAAAGTCAATGAAAAAAGGCTGAATTCAATACAATATTGATTAAATACTCATTGGTACTTTTATATAATCGTATTTGAAACTTTTATTGAAGGCTCTAACCAAATTACGTGCGAAATATAAGAGTTGGGAATCTGAATTTCCAAAGAAATTGCCAAGTGGGCTAAATACTCTTAAGTCTTCTCTTTGATTTGGTTTCAGTGTTAATTGGAGTGTTCCCGAAAATGAGATGAAATGGATTCCTTCTATCTATTTCGTCTTAACGAAGGAAATTGTTGAAAAGTGCTTGTCAAGAAAATGACGATTTTACATGGACAGTGGACACTCTGCTCTGTCAGCATTAAGCGTTTCAATCATTTACTGCCTCTAGACACTTTAAAGAGATAGATTAAAATGTTCTCCTTGAACGGCCAGACGCTGTATAATCCAAATTTAATTCAGATTTATTTCGCGAACACTTCCTTCAAGTTAAAATTTTATAATCTTTTGTCAAAATAGTTCTAAAGTAGAAATCTACGTCAAGAAAAGATTATATGGGCTAATTCTGTATTAAAGTTGACAATTTATAATATTTTCCTCTTTAACCTCTTTCTGGATTCATTTTGTGGTCCGTACAAATACTCAGTTTTCTTTCTAACATTGCATGCATGTATAGATGATAGTATTTATTTGGGAGACATGTTGTATTTGTATTTTAATTAATTTTAATGTTAAATTTTACAAATTTGTTAAAGTAATTTTGCATGAAAATTGGACATGTCACTTGAAATAACGTATACAGTCCCTTTAATAGATTCCAAAATAAAGTTTGGATTGTTTTGACTTGAAACCTGATTTTTCATTGTTTTCAGAGAACAGGAAAAGCTGGGAACAGCTGTTTTTTAAGAAAAATGTCTGAAGAAGCTGCTGCCCAGGGTGGCAGACCACAAGGTATTTTAAATTTAAAGGATTTCGCCGCATATTTAAGATTTAAAGGAAAAGGCCGCAACATTAAGATTTAAAGGAGACCGGCCACATATTTTAGATTTAAGAAGATTGAAGGCCGCAAATTTTAAATTTTTAGGGCGCTGATTTTAGATTTCAAGGATTAGGCACCACATTTAAAATTTAAAGAAGGCTGCAACTTTAAGATCCGAAAAAATAGGCTGCTTTCAGATTTAAAGAAATATATCTCGAAATTTAGATTTTAAAGAGTAGGTCGCAATTTTTAGATCTAAAGGAGAAGCCCGCATATTTTCGATCTAAAGGAGTTGGTCGCAATCGTTAAATTTAAAGGACTAAGCCGAAAATTTTAAACTTAAAGGAAAAGGCTTATTTTTGTTTTATGGAAGTAGGTCGATAATTTTAGGTTTAAAGAAGTAGGTCAACAATTTTAGATTTAAAGGAGACAACATATTTTAGATTGAAGAAAGTAGGCCGTTAATTTGAGACATATGGGAAGAGTAATTTTTCGTCTCTAAATTGTCAAGAGAATGGGATAGACAGATAAAAGAGCGGAAAATCAATAAATAAGTAAGAAGTAATGTATGAAGTTTATACTATGAACAGAATGCCACAAAAGAGATGCGTGAACATACAATTCAAATTATATAGCCTTCTGTGCCCCCCCCCCCATAGATCTTACATGAATTATTTTCATTCTTTAAATTAATAAAAGTTTCGCCAAAATGTTCAAATTCATTTATTCTTGAAATAAAAATTTCTCAATTTTGGAAAGACTGTCAGCTTTAAGTAATATTGCATGCTAAGTACCCAAAAATAAGTGGTCAAAGCTAAATTTTTTTCTGTTCTGAAAAGTAGTAATCCAATGAGAATTAATCCATGAAGTATTAATCCATGGTGTAGTAATCCAGGGAGTAGTAATCTATTGAGTAGTAATCTATTGAGTAGTAATCTATTGAGTAGTAATCCAATGAGTATTAATCGATGGTGTAGTAATCCATGGTTTAAAAATCCATGGTGTAGTAATCTAAAGTAATCCATGGTTTAGTAATCCATGGTGTAATAATTCATGGTGTAGTAATCTAAAGTAATCCATGGTTTAGTAGTCCATGGTGTACTAATTCATGGTGTTTTAATCCATGGTGTAGTAATCCATGGTGTAGTAATCCATGGTGTAATAATTCATGGTGTAGTAATCTAAAGTAATCCATGGTGTAGTAATCCATGGTGTAATAATCTATGGTGTAGTAATCCATGGTGTAGTAATCTAAAGTAATCCATGGTGTAGTAATGGTGTAGTAATGGTGTAGTAATTCATGGTGTAGTAATCCATGGTGTAGTAATCCATGGAGTAGTAATCCATGGTGTATCAATCATGGTGTATCAATCATGGTGTAGTAATCCATGGTGTATCAATCATGGTGTATCAATCATGGAGTAGTAATCCATGGAGTAGTAATCCATGGTGTAGTAATCCATGGAATGCTTATAGTCTTTTTGACGGTGAAAAATAAATATTTTATTAACAATGTAAACTTAAGGCTCAGGATAATTGTTTTTAAAGTGTATGAAAAGTGCTTAAGATCGACTTTAGTTCTAGATTCAAGGTAAATGACCTCCAATTCAGCTCAGAGGCCAGGTAAGCTTACATCCTCTTTACAAGTATTGAGGTAGATGACCTCCACTTTAGCCGGGAGGCCAGGTAAGCTGACGACCTCCAAGAACATGAACATGAAGATGATAAACAGATTGACATCCTTCAACACCATTGTTAATCACAAGCCTGAAGATAACAAATACAGTGGTACCCAAAAAACTGTAGATTTCTAAGTGAAATAAAAAAATCAATTTATAAATAATGTAAAATAGATCATGTACATTGTACGTACATTGTACACTGCACGGGTGAAGTGTTCAAGTTTCATGTTTATTAGACTACTTAAAATCTTAAAATCTTAAAATTTCATGATCTCTCTTTTTCAGCAGTTTGGGGTTTGAGTAAAGAGTAAAAAAGTTTTTTTTCAGTTTTTAATTGTTATTTTGCCCCTTGAATCCGGATCCGGATCCAGAAATCCAAAATCTTGCGGATCCAAAGGATAATAATTTTGTTTACCTGTATCCTTTATCTAGCCCTTGCTCCTTGGCCACTTTCCTGGCAACTAACATCAGATGTCCCAAAACCTCGCCATCCTCCTCAGCAGCCTAAAAAGAACAATTTTTGTATTTTTTAAAAACTTTTTTACACAAGTTTTATTGCTAAAACTGTTCCAAAAATTCATTCTTAGAGACACTTTTATGCGATTCGCACCTTTGTTTACTCGAGGATTAATGAGATATCCCTATTTTCTTGGCTGAAGATTATCATCAAATGTCAATTATATTTTTTCTAAAAGTGAGTTACGAATTTGTGCAGCAGAGAAAATTTTCAGATTATACTAAAATAATGAAAGAAAAAGGCAAAATCAAAAATCAAAAACAAGATTAAAAATATGTTTAATCCATAATTCCTTTTCATTGCTTACTTTTAAAAACTAAATTTTTTTTTATAAAGTAAGATCTGCACTTTTTTAGTCTATAACTTGAGAATTCATCTTTGAAAGCCAAAAACAATTGATTTAAAGTTTTGTTTTTAAAAGTTGAAAATAAACATGCCCTTTTCAGAATTGAAAAAATATATCTCTTTTCTAACACTTATAAATATTTCTTAATAAAACACTTTATTAGTTATTTTTTGTTAAAATTCAAAAATAATTTCTTAGATACTTACTAAAATAAACTATTTAACTATAAAAATTATTTTTAACTTACTAAAGTAAACTAATTAACTATGATGAGTATTGCTAACTTACTATGATTAACTTTAAATCTATTATAGCCATTGCTTGAACACTGTACAAGCTATAATACCTCACTTCATTCTTGAACTAGTATATTCATTTCAAGTTAGGGGGGTGGATAGTAGGACTCCCTCACCGCATGATTTGATTTGATTTTCGCTTACTTATATGCCATAACAACATTAAACTACTAATAAGTTTACCTCTTCTAACATAGCTATTGGTTTTCTTGGAATCACTAGGAAATGAACAGGAGCCTTAAAAAATAAATTTTTCTTAAAGTAAAAATCGACATGATTTCTAGCAACCCTACATTTTAAGAGTAGTATGCACAATCCACAATTTTTCTGTTTTTATATCTGATATCTGATATTTGAGGTTACTCTAAAAATGCAACTTAAAAATTGAGATTTTACAGAATTTGTGAAACAGACGGGGAACAGAATTTACAGAATTTGTGAAACAGACGGGGACCAGAATTTACAGAATTTGTGAAACAGACGGGGACCAGAATTTACAGAATTTGTGAAACAGACGGGGACCAGAATTTACAGAATTTGTGAAACAGGCGGGGACCAAAATTTACAGAATTTGTGAAACAGAGAACGAGGCGGGGGTTACTGAGCCCCCCTCCTGGATACAAAATGTTAATAATTTTGTCGTGTTAGTTTGATTTTGATGATTAATACAATACGTTGTTTTATCATTATGCTTATTATGCATTACTTCGCCTTAAATTTGACGTTTTTTAGATAGCTTGAATTTGATGTTGACTATAGCGTACATGATTTTTTTTTTGTAATATTAAAACTGGCCATTTTAGCTAAAATTTGATTATATCTAAAGCTCTCACATAAAATTGTTATTAGTGTATTATCTTTTTTTTAGGAAACTACAAAGTACCCTACAAAAACAACCCTTATGACCTTTTGATGTTGTTATTCACAAATCTGATCCTACATAGGGGGGGGGGGGGGACCCAGTTCCCCTTCCTTCGTTCCGGCCCTGCTGGCTTAAATTATAAAAAAAATGTTTCAGGGCCGACGATATTTTCTAAACTTCTTGATGGAACAATTCCGTGTAAATTTATTCACGAAGATGACAAGGCGGTGGCATTCATGGATGTAAATCCGCAGGTAACACTCCGGGGATTTTCGAATGTTCGAATTTTACGGATTTCTTCTGGAAAATCTACGGAAACATATTTAAAAATGCGCGGATTTCGGATTTTTAAGAAAAATCATAATTTTTTACACTTATTTTTAAAATATTTTCTTTTGAATGATCTCACATTTAAGAAGTCGTGAAGCCTTTTACTTCATTGTACTTTAAAGGCCATTAAATACTTAGGTTGTTAAAGGGGGCTTGGACGTAACTTCAAGTTTTTGAAAATACTTATGGATAAATCAGTAAAATATTAAGAGGGTGTTGTTGTGAATCAGACTCGAAAAGCCTACAGTGCCTATTTTTCTGTGAGGATTTTCACTCAAAACTACTTTGAAATGTTCGATGTTGAATGGTTTTTCAAAATTCTTTTTTATTTATTTTTAAACAATATGAATTCCTTTTATTTTAAATAATTTTATAACTGAAGCGATTGAAAAACGTGTGTTTTAATAGAAGAATTTTGCAAAATCATTCTGCAAATTCGTGTTAATTGCATGTTTTGCAGAACTTTTTTCTTTGCATTACAAACTTTATATAACTGAAGAATTTGTAGACGGGAATGTTCTCTTCGAACTCTTTATTTGTTCTTTCAAGTTTCGACAGTGTTTACAACCTCTCTACTTTCTCTAAGGGATTGTAAGCGTAATTTAAGTGACCCTCCATGCAAATATGGCAATATCCGATTTACAACGGTACATGGCACCTTAATTTGGTAAAATAATGCGGAAGATATCGTCGTTTTCCTGACTCGAAAAGTGTTTATTTCTGGTAATTTTTCCATTGCTTCTTTTAGCAAGAAACGCGTTGTCAATGTTGCAGAGAAATTGTAAATGAAAATGAACGGTTTAAAGAAACAAAAGCATAGATTTCCAATTCACACTTGATCAGTCTTAGCTTTTCAGGGTACCGTTGTATATCAGGCTTTGCCATCTTTCTATGCAGGGTCACTTGAAATTAATTTTACAGTCCCTTTAAGAATGAATCTCTTAGATTCACAAAAGAATTAACTGTACAAATATACCTATCTGTTTATTATTTATTCGTGCATTCTTATTGTTGTGATATTATTTTAAAGGGACCGGTGACTTTATTTCGTGTGCTCCAGTGACATATATTTGTGAAACAGGCGGGGACCAAAATTTACAGAATTTGTGAAACAGGCGGGAACCAGAATTTACAGAATTTGTGAAACAGACGGGGACCAGAGTTTACAGAATTTTTGAAACAGACGGATATTTTTAAAAAATTCCTTTTTAAAATTTTGTAGCGTCGAAATCAACGCATTCGACGGGGTATGCGCAAAATCAACGATATTCGGTCTTGTCGGGGAAGTTCATATTTTACTTAGAGCGTTGGATCAGTTTCTGTTGAAAGGGCTTCATTCAGAATTTCTCAGAATTTCAATTAACTTAACTTTAATTTTTTGAATCATTGATTCTTGTGATTCTTGTAGATTAATTTTGTGTGTTAAATTTAGGTGAAGATTTGTTCTAAAATTTAAAACTTTAAATTAAATACAAATAAGTAATCTTCAATAGAATTGCACTTAAGAAAGTATTTAATAAATGTATTAAAGGTGAACTTAAGATAGAAATTTCATCTTTATCTTTATATTTGAAACATATTTATTATTACAAAATAAACAATATTGTGTATCTGATAATAAAAAATAATATTTTGGTGTATTTAAGAAATCTCATATTTGTATTAATAAAAAAAATATTTTATCTACCTTGTTCAGCAGTTAACAGCTTGGATAGTTCCTCCATGTTTTCTACGCACAAATTGAACCATTTTCTTAAAAAAATTGAACAAATTGTTGTGTACTACTTTTATGAATTCATCTCAATCTTATTAAGAAAAATTAATTCAACTCTGTTAANACCAAAATGAGACTTAATACATAAATAAATTTGAACTTTTTTCCAAGAGTAAATATTAAGCAAATTAGCAAACAATGCTGAAACTTTTCTAATTTTTTTTAGTGTAACGATTTGCAAATGCAATATCAGATCAGAGTTTCACGGACGACCTATTTTCACACTTAACTCGAAATGAAATAGATGGATAGAAAGATGCCTTACCTCAGTAAATCAGATCTATGTTTAGCTGTAGTTTCCCGAAAGCTCTAAAAGTTCAATGAGCATAAATGCTGAAAAAGATGAAAACTACTTAAGTTATGATATTAATCAAAATAAAATGAACAAAAATAAAAACATTGTTATCTTTTAGATTTTTATTGTGCAAACCGCAGCAATAGTTTTGAAGTATTGGTAAAATATTTAAATTGTTAGATAACAATTAAAATAAAATGTTGTTGTTAAAAGATTCGAGTCATATAAATTTAAAATGTAGTTGACATCAGAAGTTGTAACATTTAAAGGTTCAGTTTTTAATGTAATTGAATTATTTACGGTTTGAGTGAAATAATGCAACTAAGTGAAGTTATATGAGCTCTAACGCTCTTAAGTATAACGCGTGTTCTCTTTAATAAAAGTTTTTTTGAAAGGGGGTAAAAAAAAAACTTTTTAATAAATAGCACTGAAATATTACCTGGAAGGCATGATGCGCTGCATCAACAGCTGCTTGTACATCAGCTGTATCCATATCCGGTACTGTACATAACACCTGAAGGATTTATGGTGTAAGAAACCTGCTCTCCTGTCTATACCAGAGCTGAAAACTTTAGAATGGTGGATATTGAGATTAATGCTTGACCCTCTCTTTTTCTTAATATCGAGACTAACCTAATCTTGTACTTGTATCCTGAAAAGTGTGTTTAATTCCACCAATCAGAGTCGCGTATCAGAAGCCGGGAAATTCTAAATTTTGCGCGCCATTTTAGATTAATATACAAAAACGGGAGGGACTCTATAATTTCAGGGGACATTATTTCCAAAACTAACACTTAGCAAGTTAGCCCATTTCTATGAAGATCAACTAATAAATTCTCTAAAATTCTGAAGTCTACAGGGTAAAATGCGGATGAAAAAGTGTGCATAAAAACCATAGAGAATAGAATATATAGAGAGGAATTTACTAAAAAAAAGTGTAAAACGGCCATTTTGTTGTACTGTTTCCATACTGCAGGTGTACTTCACATATTTATGCTATATAACCTGTTGGGCCCTGGAATATCATTTTATAGAAAATCTAAAAATATTGTTAAAAGAAAACCAAATTATGAAATAGGCTGGTTTCATAACTGACCAATGATCATTTCACATAGACTCAATGCCTTCCACTTTACAAACGATGATTTTCCGTTATAACTATAAATCAAATGATGTTTTTATTCACCTAATTCATTATATAGTTTATTTAACAGCTTTAAAAATTTCGAAATTGAAATGAATAGTCTAGGGAACATACTGTATTAATGTACTCTAATGCATATAATTTGTGAACATTTACAAGATTTGTACACTTTGAACTCCCTTTCAGGCTGAAAGGGGCTGAAAAAATTCATACCGAGAGATTCTTTTAATTCCTCTCTATATATTCTATTCTCTATGATAAAAACTCAGGAAAATCTAAAAAAAGTGGTTTTAAGAAAAGCGGTTAAATTTAATCTATGTAAATCAACTACAAAATTCTTGCTATTTCTTAAATCTAAAAAAGGAAATAAGTAAAGTTGAAATTACATGTAAATTATACCGATTATTGCAATTTACATTATAGATTCAATTATCCTTTAAAAAGCCTCATCAAATAATTTGATTTCTTATGAATTTTCCTTCTTTATTTTTTTTCATAGCCTTATTAGAAAAAGGCTGGATCTGAAAAAAACGCAAAATCAAAATCTAAATTGTATTTACATTGTCGTGGTCAGCGCTAGATGCGTACAGATTTTTTCTTGTACAGTCTAGACACAATTGTAGTATTGAACAGTTTAATATTTGTTGGATATAGCAGTGCAAACTAAATGTGTTGATTTTACGTAATATTCATTCATATTTTTATTCAACTACAAAGCACAAAATAATACAAAAAAAATCACAATTTACTATGTAGTTTGGACCCGCCTAGCCAGAGTAGGTTGTCTTAATTGGTTGGCCCACAATAAATGAATGAGAATTGTAAATAGATAAATACATGGGTGTAGTACACTGTACAGTGTACATTATAAACATAATAATGATGATAAATCAGGAAAAGGGTAAGGGGGAGGTGAGGGAGAATAAGGAAAAAGGAGGGTAAGGGGGAGGTGAGGGAGTATAAGGAAAAGGGAGGGTAAGGGGGAGGTGAGGGAGTATAAGGAAAAGGAAGGGTGCTCAGCGGAGTTCTGATTGAAAATATTTCAGATTTTACGTGAAACTTTATCCAAGAAAGAACGGTTTAAGAAGAAAATCAAAAGTTTGTTCATTAGCTACTCAGATTAAGTAATCGGGATTAAGGATATCTTATTCTAAAGTTTTCAACTCCAAGTATTTTATATGAGCTTCTTCACCTTGGAACAAATAGATAAAAAATCCATCGTTTAAAAGCTTTTCCAATTAGAATCATGTTCCATGCTGGTAAATCTTTATGGGTGAATTTAATAATTCTAAAAATATTCAAATCTTGATCACTTGAGAAAAGTCCTTGCATTAATGTATATGAAAATAAAGAACTGTATTTCCGCTTTTATCGCATGAATATATGCATTTTTTGCATTACAGTGGGACCCATATAACTGTGGAATAAAAAGACAACTGTTGGACACGAGATATGATTTTAAATGGTCCAATGAAAATAGAACACAACAATTTTGCACTGTAATGAATTACAAAACACATTAAATTGCTTAAATGTTGTTTCAAAGGGCTCAATGTATTAAAATAAAGAACATATTTTAGTTACAAAAATATTTTAAAAATCCAAAAATACAGCCCTTTAAAAATTATAAAGAACAGTACAGTGAATCCCAGATATATGAATTTGAATACAAAGCAAGAGTTTTTTATAATGTTGTATGTTATATATTTAAGATCAAATGCCGCGGAAAAATGAGTTTAATATTAACAGTTCAATTGCATTCATATTTCAGGGCTATTAATTTACCTTGAATTAAAAATGAAAAGAAGTTTCTTTAGAATTATCAAAAAACTTATGACGGTCTATGTATTCATATATCTGGAATTCACTGTAGGACATTCTGTACTAATGAATTAAATATTTTTTTTTAAAACCTTTTTACAAAGAGACCTGAATACTGACTACTGAGTACTGAGTACGACAAAGAAAATAATCTCAATAAAATCCCCCGGGGACAAAAATAAGGTTTAAATTTAATAACGTCAAAAACTTTGTTACCTTAGAATTTAGAGGATTTGTGACTTCAAAATTTTTCCCGGATATAGCCTCCACCCAACCTCCATTTACTGTTAAGACATATTAAAATTAAAAATGTTTTTTTTTTCTTGTGTATTTTTTAGTTTCTACAAAAAAACATTATGATGTAAAGAAAACAAATAATTTAAGTTCTTGTCTCTGACCAAAAACGTTATAAAAAAAATCTCTAAAGAAAGAAAGAACCACAGAAGCCATAAATAAATAATCAAAATTGATATTTACATTTACTATTTCCCATGGAAGTAAAGTTTTGTTTTATTTTTCGTAAAATAAGAAAAATAATAAAAATTTTCCCCAAGCTGTCCTAGTTCTCCTTCCCCCCCCCCCCCTGGTCCTCCTTCTAAAAAGTGGCAACCTCCAGTGATAAGATAATACTAATCCAGGCGAGATTAGGTAAAAAAAGATAGATTGTCACAGGAGGTTGCGCTTTACAAAACAAAACTAAATATCTCACCGTACGCTTTATCTCGGATTAAAGACGACATTTGTCGAACAATTCCTGACCTAAAATAGGATTATCAATTAGAAGTGCCATCAACGATTCACATCGGTACTTATAAAGAAGCTGTTAGCGTATAATTCAAGTTATATCAGCAACTAAATAATGAGGAATATATCGTCGTTATTTTATCTAAAAACGTTTCTTATTCTGAAAATGTTCCCTGTGTTTGTAAATGACACCCTTAAAATGAAAGATCATACAATTATGAGAGCTGGAAACTCTTGTATTGTGGATTTTGAGATCAATATTTGATCTCGATCTTCAGTTAATCTGCAGATTAATTGAATCTTTATTCGATATCCTGCATGGTAATCGAACCCTGAATAACTGAAATGAAGAGTGCCCACAGTGGATGCTGAGATCAAGAGGTCAGGATTATGATTATCCAACACAGGAGATTTAACTTAAAATACTCTAGATTTGACCATATCTATTTCGGACTCCAGCGTAGGTTAACAAATGCGCAGTCATGTATTTACTGAGTGAACACATAATGCGTAGAATATGAGATATGCGAGGGGGGGGGGCAGAAGTCCTCAATTAATAATCACCGCCACGCAAAAACGTGTTTTAGGGCATGCGCGCTCCTCAATTGGTAATTTCCACCACCTCAATTTGTAATCAGAAATAAAAATGTTCACATTAAATCGTTTATTTCTTAGAAACAAGACCATATTGACCTCTGTCAATGGCAAGAACAAAAACAATAATAACAATAACAATAACAATAACAATAACAATAACAATAACAATAACAATAACAATAACAATAACAATAACAATAACAATGAAATTAAAATAATAATTACAATAACAATAACATTGATGATTTTGAGACTTATTTTGAAGTTAAAACAAAACAAAAAACGAAAACAAAAACTAAAACAAAAAAAATAACAAAAGCAATAACAATAACAATAACTATAATAATGGCAAAAACAATAATAATACCAATAACAATAACAATAAAAATAACAAAAAAAAATAACAATGAAAATAACATTAACAATAAAAATGATGATTTAGACAACTTACTTTGAACTGATAACTGTGAGAACCTTTCTTTCCATTTCAATATATTAAATTTATCTGAAATTTAAAAAGTCACAAGATTACACTGAATATAAAATATTTCCCAAACTTGAATTCTTCACTCTACACTCTACAGTGCACAGTGGGTAAAAACAGAAACTATGTAGGATAAATCTAGGTGGAAAATTGTACACCCATCACACCAAAAAGTACAAAAAAAAACATTTGAAAGCATGAATAATTCAGTATCTCAGACAACAAGTATATCTTACTTTAAAAACATGCCACAAATAGCACATTTTCCATAAAATCTGCCATAAAATGAAGTCTTAAACCCGCCCCAAAATCTTTATATAAACCCTTGACCTAGGCGACAAATTTATAAACTGGCTCTCTCAGTCAATAAAACTTATTTGATTTTAATGTCAGATGTGTGAATGATATTAAATTTCATATGAAACAAGTTCAG